AGAGGGAAGGAGTCTTCACATCAAGTATCAATCCTATCCCCTCTGTATACAGGGTTGGTAGGATGGGCAACTTATACATTGGCTACCTAAAATGGGGGGGAGGGGGGCTATAAAAGCACGAAGTGACTGACTTACAAGTTTCCAAGAGGGAGTTTAGTTTAAGAGTATGCGGGGGAAGGTAGAGTCCCCACTGCATAGTTTTCATCTTGGGTCTGGTGAAAAGAGATGGGGATAAGATTCTTATGATTCAATAGTCAGTAATTGTGATCATGACTGATTGCGACTGTCACAACTGTAAAGATAGAAGCTCTGTAATGTAAACGGGGGCATAGTTAATCTTACAGTCCAGGAACAGAGAACCCTAGGACCATCAAAGGAGAAGAGTATGAGCAGAATGTGGGGGCCTATCAAGAGAAGCAGCGACACCAGAGGTGGAATCAGAGATGAGGACATGGAGAGAGAGAGCAGCTGAGGACTCTAGACTCCTGGAAAGAGAAAGACTGAGTGCTGGCGGCCAGGTGCTGGCAGCCAGGAGGCAGGCTTGCAGAATGTACCCTTTGGTTGTTTAAATGAAAATGTATTTCTAAGTGTTTTTGTGTACATCCCACCCAAAAAAACAAAACAGAGGGAATAGAAGCAAACACTGTTGAATCATGATGCACAGAGGAGAATGTAATCATTGCAATGATACGATGAGTGTAAAACCGATGTTCTCCCATTTGAACTATCACTCAATTCACAATAAAAACTTTTAAAAAGAGGAATAGGTAAATACTGGTAAATGATAGTACATGGAAGAGATTGTAATCACTGCAATGAAACAAAATATGATTTGTTGAATGTAAAGCAAATGATTTGCTATGTAAACTTTCACTCAGTTCACAATTTAAAAAAAAAAAAAGAAGAAATGACAAAAATGGATGCCAGAAGAGATGCTCAAATTTGCTCTTGTGCATACAGAAACTAAAGTAATTAGAAGAATTGAGGAAGAAAGTAATTGAACAGGAAACTTCAAAAGACAGCTCAAGAAGACAAAGTATAAATTGTGCAAAGACCTGGATTCAGAAAACCAAAAGGGAAGAACACACCCAGCGTTTCTCAAGCTGAACAAACTGGAGAAAAAACTCAAGCCCTGACTTGCAATATTGAAGGACTCCATGGGCAAAATACTGAATGATGCAGAAAGCATCAAGGAAGATGGAAGTCACTGTACCAAAAAGAACTCACTGATGCTCAACCATTTAAAGAGATAGCACATGATCAATAACCAAAGGTACTGAAGGAAGACACCACCAAGCTGCACTGAAGGTACTGGTGAAAACTGGACTCCAGGAACTGATGGAATACAAATTGAAATGTTTCAACAAACTGATGAAGCACTAGACATCCACATTTATGCCCATTCCAACGAGAGGTGACTCAATGGACTATGTAAATCAAACAATATCATTAATATCACATGCAAGTAAAATTTTGCTGAATATATTTGAAAGACAGTAGCAACAGTACAGCTGCCAGATATTCAGCTAGATTCAGAAGACGACATGGGTCTAGGGATATCACTGCTGACATCAGACAGTCTTGGCTGAAAGCAGAACATACTAGAAAGATGTTTACTTGTGTTTTATTGACTATGCAAAGGCTTTCAACTGTATAGATCATGACAAACTATGGATAACACTATGAAGAATGGCTCTTCAGAACACTCAATTGTGCTCATGAGGAACCTGTACAGAAACCAAAAGGCAGTCATTAGAGCAGCACAAGGGGATACTGAATGGTTTAAAATCAGGAAAGATATATGCCAGGGTGGTATTCTTTCACCATAATCATTCAATCTGTGTGCTGAGCAAATAATCTGAGAAGCTACATTATATGAAAAAGAACATGGCATCAGGACTGGAGAAGACTCATTAGCAACCAACAATATGCAAATGATATAACCTTGCTTGCTGAAAGTGAAGAGGACTTAAAATAGTTATTGATGAACACCAAAGACTACAGCCTTCAGTATAGATTGCTCCACAAGGAGAAGAAAATGAAAAATCCTCACAAAAGAGCCAACAAATAACATCCTGATCAATGGAGAAAAGCCTTAGTTTGTCAAAACTACATTTTGCTTGGATCCACAATCGACACTCATGGCATCAGCCAGGAAATCAAACATTAGGCAAGTCTGCTGAAAAAGTATTAAAAGGCAAAGATATCAGTTTAAGAACTTTAGGTGAGTCTGACCCAAGTCCTGTTATTTTCAATAGCCTCATATGTATGTAGAAGTTGGACAATGAATAAAGACCGCAGAAGAGTTGATGCATTTGAACTGTGTTGTTGTTGTTGTTTTTATGTGCCGTGGAGTTGGTTCCGACTCACAGCGACCCAGCATAGGGTTTCCAAGGCTGTAAATCTTTACGGGAACAGAAAGCCTCATCTTTCTCCCACGGAACAGCTGGTAATTTCGAACTGTTGACCTTGTGGCTCACAGCCCAATTCGTAACCATTACGCTACCAGAGCTCCTTATTTGAACTATAGTGTTGGAGAATATTAAAAGAACCATGGACTGCCAGAAGAACAAACAAATCAGTCTTACAAAAAATGCAACCAGAAAGCACCTTAGAAATGAGTATGGCAAGCCCTTGTCTCTCATACTTTGGACATGTTATCAAGAGGGATCAGTCTTTGGAGGATGACATCATGCTTAGTAAACTGGAAGGTCAGTGAAAAAGAGGAAGAACCCCAACCACAAGGACTGACAGAGTGGCAGCAACAATGGTTTCAAACGTAACAATTGTGAGGATGGCACAGGACTGGGCAGCATTTGGTTCTGTTGTACACAGGGTTGCTGTCAGTCGGAATTAACTCGAAGGCACCTAACAACAACAAATGACCCACAGCTTTTGTAAACTAGGGTTATAATTAGCTCTGTGGTCTTAGATATCATTTCCCCCTCCGAATCTCCTTCTCCCACCCCCAACATTAAAATGAAAAGTCTGGAAATTCCGTCTCAAGAAATATTGTGTATGTGTTAAATATTAAGGGGGCCTTGGGTGACGTGAACAGTTAAATGCTGGACCACGAATGGGAGGGTTGCTGTTTTCAACCCATCCAGAGATGTAGCCATGAAAACCCAATAGGGCACAACTCTATTCTTACACATACGAGGCCACATACGAGTATTATTGTCCCTATATGGCTCAAACTGTTTGTGCTCAACTACTAATCTAAAGATTAGCAGTTCAAACCCAATCAGTGGTAGCACATAAGAAATCTGGGGATCTGAGTCCACTTAAATTATAGCCAAGAAAACATTATGGAATAGTTTTATTCGGTAACACAAGGTTATCTTGAGTCAAAATCAAGTCAATGTCAATGGTTTTTTTTTTGTGCTGTTATTGTTTTTTGTTTATTTACTATGTAGGAGAAACTGGATGAGTGCCTGGCATTCAACAGTGAACAAGACAGGATCGATGCTCAAAAGGGGCTTACAGTCTAAGAAGAAAGGATATACTCTTCTCCATACACCAACCTAGAATGAGGATATATACATATGCACTTAAAGATAACCTGCTACAAATATATATATATATATATATATATATATACATCAAAATATACAAAGCATCAAACCTGGTCACTAGCTATAAACACTTTACTACACACAGCTGCCTAATGTCACACAAAGGATGACAAAAGGTAGACAAAGGAAAAACGTGATCATAATGCTTAAGACTGCCTGCCTGAGAGGTATAAAAACAACCTGTATTCAAACATTTTCCACCAAGTTTAATAGGGGTGGCAGTTAGAGCGGTGATTCTCAAACTTTGTTGTGCATCAGAATCAGCTGTGGGTTCCATTAAGCCACCTGGGGTAATGCCTGAGAACATTCACTTCTAGCCAGGTCCCAGGTGACACTGATGCTGCTGGTGGGTAGGCTGTGGTGTTGGAAGTTGGAAGGGCCACACTTTTAAGCACCACTTCCTAGAGCCACAGTTAAGCACTTGACTGCTAACCAAAAGGTCATCAATTGGAACTTACCAGCCATTCCACAGAACAATGAAGCAATGTGCTTCTGGAAAGATTTACAGCCTAGGAAACCCTATGGGGGAATTTTACTCTGTCCTACTGGGACCCTGTATATTGGGAGTGACTCAGTGGCAGTGGGTCTGAGTCAGGAAAAAGGTTTTCCATCTGATAGCACTTCCGAACCACCTGGGGAACTCAACAACTGTCTGGTCCTAATTCAATTCAATTACAGCAGAATTCCTTTTTAGGGGATTCCATGGACAACTAGGCTGAGAATCACTGACTTTAGCTATCTCTTATCAGAAGTCTTTAGGGTCCTAGAAAAACCAAAAGGAAGACAGTACCAGAAAATGTATGTCTCCCATATGACCCTAGAAACAAAGTAATATTTTTAAAAATGTAAGTGCAGTATCAATTGGAAAAAAAAAGAAATTTTTAAGGAAAGTCTACTGAAATCAGGAATAGGAAGATATGGATGGTGTAGGTAACTGATTCTGATAGGACCAGAGGACCAGACTGGACCAGAGGACCAGAGAAAACCAAAGAACCACACTGGATAGTGTCTGGCTACCCTTACTGAACATTTTGATCAAAGATTCCACAGGAAAATACTGACCAAAAAAGGAAACGTGCAGAACAAAATTTCAAATTTCATGGACTCTAAACTTTCTTGAATCATGTAGGGTAGAGGGCCCCTCAAACTACTGTCCTGAGATATCCTTTAATCCTTAAACCAAAAATATCTCCTGAAGTCTTCTTAAAACCAAATGACAGTTTAGCTCAACTAAACCAGTAAAAGAACACATCGGCAAAAGTAAAATTAAACAATTTGGTTCTGAAGTGAAAGAAAAATAACCCCTAGAGGATATAACTTAAGAATTTTAATCTTTGGAAACAGTGCTAATTTACCGACCGTCTAAGAAATGCAACCTACAGAAAACCACTTACTATTAATTTTCAGTATACCAATTTTACTCACCGCAAGCATTTTCAATAAAAGCTCCTGTTGTTCTCTGATTCCTTCATCTTTAATGTTCTCTTCAAATTCATAATCATTTTTAGCTAAATAGTCAAGGTAGTTGTGAAACATAACTGAACGCCAAAATTGTTCCTATAAAAATGGGGAAAAATTGCTTAGAGTCAATTATTATCCTTTTATTATGAAAGTGTTCAATATTTACCTTAACACATTTGTTATAGTTTATTTTCTAAAATACAACTTCTAAAGCTTATTTCCAGAGTCCTGGTGTGACGCTGTAGGATGAGCACTGGAAAAGTATGCAGTTCAAACTCACCAGCTGCTCCTTGGAAACCCTATTCAGGGCCAACCACTATGAGTTGGAACAGACTTGGCACTTAACAACAACATAGTTTATCCTACCATTTAAATTCCAATGTGACTGGCACCCATTGACGTTGAGATAAGAGAGAAGAGGAAAGGCTAGCTGGTCTGAAGTTGTGTGAACTCCTGAGCCCATGGGCAGTCAGGGCTGAGAGTGAACTCCTGAGAGTGAACTCAGGGAAGATGTGTGAACTCCTGAGCCCATGGGCAGTCAGGGCTGAGAGTGAACTAGATAGCTAGTCTGAAGTGCAGGGAGGTATGCGTGAACTCCCAAACTTGAAGTTAGTACCCATCTGACCTAGTTTGGATGGCTAGCTAACCAGAGCTTGAACCAAGGAAGATAAAGATGTTTGATACTAAGAACAAGTACAAAATGCTACAATTTGACAAACTAGACTTTTGTCTATGAATACAGTGACTCAAAATTCCAACCAGAATGGAAGGATTCTTCCTATCAAGGAACAAGCTTGTTTCCTCAGTGTACTGGGTTGACAGGGATGAGAAATTTAGACAGTGGCTATCAAACATGGGTGGGTGGGGTAACAAAGGCATGAAGTGGCTGGCTTACAAACTTTCAAGAGTGTGCTGAGTTGCAGAACGAGGGGAGTAAGGCAGAATCCTCACTGAATAGTTTCCCTCTTTTCCAGATGGATCTGGTGAAAGGGGGTGGGGACGATGGTGATAGGATTTTATGACTCAATTATGAGTAACTGTTAGCAGGATTGATTACAATAGTCACAACTGTAATTGTAGAAAACACATTAACTAAAAAGGGAGGAAGAGTAAATCTTTCATTTCAGGAACAAAAGGTCCCAGGACCATCATGAAGGAAGGACATGAGTGGAGCATGAGATCCCTACCTAAAGTGGCGACAGTGGCGACAGTGGAGACAGTGGCTGGGTGCCTGTGGGCAGGAGGCTGGCTGGCAGAATGTGCGTGCCCTCTGGACATTTAAATGGATGTCAATTTTTTTTGTTTTGTAAGTGTACATCAAGTATTTTTGCCTTGTTCATTTGTGAAATACAGGATATAAATGGGGAGCCACAGGGAGGAAGTAGGATAAATGTTGCAGGGAGGGGATTGTAATTACTGAGCTGAAACAAGGTGTACAGTTTGCTGAATGGAGAGCTGATGGTTTGTCTGTAAACCTTCACCCAATTCACAATAAAAAGTTTTTAAAAAAAAAATTCCAATGTGACATATTGCTTGACTTTATCTTACTGCCATGAAAAACAACAAAAAAAAGGATATGTAGCATTTTTTTTTTTAATTAAATGTTTTTATTTTGGATTGAGTGAAAGTTTACAGGGCACATCATCAGCTTCACATTCAACCATTCATATAGCTTGTTTCATTACATTGATTATTATCCCCTCCATATATCATCAGTTAACAGTGTTTCTTTCTATCCTCTTTAGCTTTTTTTTGGGGGGGTGGGGGTGGGGAATATGTAGCATTTTAAAGTTTCCTACCTATCAGAGGTGAGACTCAAAAATTCAGTAAAGAAGATTTTTAGAAGCTGAACTGTTTCTCATTTGGCTGTATAAGGGATCAAATTGACAACAGCAACTTGGAACTTTTAGGATAGAAACTGCAAGATTTCAAACAATTTCTGAAGACGCGGGGTAAGGCTGGAGGTGGGTAAGCAAGTGTCCAGGGAACACAATCCACGTAGGCACTCGCTCTCAGGGCAGCTGCCACCTTAAGAGTGAAGGCCTCACCTAGTGCGGCCTGGAGTCCTGGTGTGGCGCTGTAGAGTTAGCACTGGACTGCTATAAAAATGGGCTCAAACCTAAAATAACTGTGAGGACAGTGCAGGACTGGACAGTGTTTAATTCTTTTGTTTAAAACGTTTTCTAAAAGTCGAAGCCAACTTGAGAGCACCTACTTACAACAACCATGATTTATTTAATTATCAAGTGACTAATACTCAACATTGTCCATCACAAGCATATTTAAATGCCTGTATTGCCGGCAATGTGTTAACAAATTCAGAATGTCAAGGTGAGATGACCACATACCTCCATTTGTCCCTTCTCTGTTGCCACCTGACAGTAAGGAAGCTTGAAGGACAATATAGCTACAGCAGGCCGTGGAAGGGTGGGAGGAAACCTTGAACCTTTACAAGGAATGCACCTGTCATTAAAGGAAAAGTCCCATGAGGAAAACTTCGTAAAATATCTATCATAAAAACTGCTAAAATAGGATATATGTACACCCATGTTCATTGCAGTACTATTCAAAATAGCAAGAAGTGGACACAGGCTAAATGTCTACCAAGAGAAGAATAGTTAAATACTTTCTGGTATATACACAAAACGGAATATTAAGCAAAACACCGCATAACACAGAGGAATTTGAAGAGCATTATGCTGAATGAAATTAGTCAATCACAAAATGACAAATGTTGTATGAGACCACTATTGTAAAAAAAAAAAACAAAAAAACGAAGTAAACGTTTTCTTGAAAAAAAGAAACATTCTAAGATGGTTGGTTGGGGGAGGTGGGGAGGTTTTTGGGAGTCCTGGTATGGTGCTGTGGGTTAATCCGCTAGACTGCAGCAATTCAAATTCACCAGCCACTCCTCAGGAAACCTTATACAGCTTTGCTATGGGCCAGAACTGACGCAACGGTTGTTGTTAAGTGTCATCGAGTTGGTTCCAACCCATACGGACCTGTACAGGGTCTGAGGAGCAGCTGGTGAGTTTAAACTACTGACCTTGTGATTCACAGTCCAGTGCTGATCCTACAGTGCCATACCAGGAGTAGAGGTTAAAGGGTAGACACATGTTAACATGGGAGACAGGGCAATCAATATACAACAAGAACAAGGCTAGCAGAGGAAAGATGAAGGTAACAGGAGACCCTGGGAGGAAGGCTAGAGTTAAAGTGAATAGAGATAAATACTGTTAACTGTTGGTACATGGAGGGGACTGCAATCATTGCAATGAAACCAAGTATATGATTTGCTGAATATAAAATTGACAATCTGCTCTGTAAAACCTTCATTCAATTCACAATAAAAATAAAAGTGGAATGCATAAAGAACGATATCCTAGACACTAGTGAGCTAAAATGGACTGGTATTGGCAATTTTGAATTGGATAATCATATGGCTTACTATGCCAGGAATGACAACCTGAAGAGGAATGGCATTGTATTCACCATCAAAAATAACATTTCAAGAATGCTGTCTGTGATACGACAATAGTCATATGACAAGGTGGACAAGTTAAAACTACTATCATTTAAATTCACATACCAGCCACTAAAGCCAGTGATGATGAAATTGAAGAATTTTAACAATGTCTTCAGCCTGAAATTGATCAAACATGCAATCGGGATACATGGTAATTACTGATGATTGCAATGTGAAAGTTGAAAATAAAGATAAAGGGATCAGTAGTTGGAAAATATGGCTTTAGTGACAGAATGCTAGAGATCGCATTTTACTAATCGAGTTCACTAATAGAATTCTGCAACTTACTCACTGCAAATACCTTTTTGCAACAACATAAAAGGGAACCTCACCAGATGGAATACAAAGGAATCAATATGACTATATCCGTGGGAAGAGATAATGCAGAAGCTCAATATTATCAGCCAAAACAAGGTCAAGTGCAGACTGTGGAACAGACCATGAACATGCAAGTTAGGACTAAAACTGAGAAAAATGAAAACAAATCTACAAGAGCCAAAATATGACCTTGAGCATATCCCATCTGAATTTAGATACCATCTCAAGAAAAGATTTGATGAAAGATAGAATCTCCACTGATTGGTTTCCAACCTGTCTGGATGAGGTTGATAAAAGGTGAGGGGGGAAAGGACTCCTGTGGCTCAATAGGAAATGATTGCTATCAGGTCTGCTGGTGAATGTTGGAAAAGTAAATGCAAATATTTGGTAACAAAAGGAGGGGAGTGGCTGATTTTGCAGTCCAGGAGCTGAGATCCCTGGAATCATCAAGGAAGAAAAGTGAAGTGCAAGATCCTGTCAAAGGAAGCAGTGACTCTAGGGATGAAGGCAGAGACAGAAGGGATGGACAGAAGGAGCAGCTGGGGACTCTGGACTCAGGGAGGGAGAGGGGCTGTGTGCTGGCAGCTGGGGGGCAGGCGTGTGGGCTGTACGCTTTGGTAGTATGATGATGCATGCAGGGGATTGTGATCATTGCAATGAAACGAAATACTATATGATGAATGTAAAGATAATGTTCACCCATGTAAACTAATATATAACTCACAATAAAAATTAAAAAAAAAAAAAAAGAACAGATTTGATACATTAGACACGAAAGACTGAAGACCAGAAGAGATTTAGGAAGACATCAACAACTTCATACACAAAAAAAGCAAAGGGTGACTTAAAGAAAGATAAGACAAACATGATGTTGAGACTCTGACACTTGCCCTTGAGCATAGAGAAGCTAAAGTGACTGGAAGGAATGAGGAAACAAAAGAACTGAACAATAAATTTCAAAGGGCAGCTTGTGAAGACAAAGTCAAATGTTATAATGAAACACGTAAAGGTTCATTAGAAAACCAGAAGGGAAGTACACACTCAGCATTTATCATGCTGAAGAACAGAAGAAAAAATTCAAGCCCTGACTTGCTGTATTAAAGGGTTGTTGTTGTTGTTGTTGTTAAGTGCCGTGGAGTCCTTTCCGACCCATAGCAACCCTGTACAAGGTTTCCGAGGGTGTAAATCTTTACGGGAGTAGAAAGCCTCATCTTTCTCCCGCGGAGCAGCTGGTAGTTTCGAACCGCTGACCTTAAGGTTCGCAGCCCGATTCATAACCACTTAGCAGTGGTTATTACTCAGGCTGCTAATCTCACCATTAGCAGTTTGAAACTACCAGCTGTTCCGCAGGAGAAAAAGATGGCACTTTCTGCTCCTGTAAATATTTACAGCCTTGGAAACCTGATACAAGGGTCATTGTGAGTCGGAACTGACTCCGTGGCACATAACCACCAACACCACCATGGGCAAAATGTTGAATGATGCTAAAAACATCAAAAGAAGATGGAAGGAATACAGAGTCACTGAACCAAAAAGAACTAGGTGATGCTCAACCATTTCAAGATCAAGAGCTAATGGTGCTGCAGGGCGATCTAAAATGGACTGGTATCCCATTACCTTCATCTTTCTATGCGCTATGATCAAGAGCCAACGGCACTGAAGGAAGAAGTCCAAACAGCACTGAAGGCATGGGTGAAAAACAAGGCTCCAGGAATTGACAGAATACAAACTGAAATCTTTCAACAAACTAATGAAGCATTGGAGGTGCTCACTCATCTATGCCAAAAAACCTGGACGATAGCTACCTGGCCAATTGATTGAAAAGAGAACCATATTTGGGCCCATTCCAAAGAGAGGTGACCCAATGAAATGTGGAAATAATTGAGCAGTATTATTAATAACACATGCAAATGAAGTTTTGCTGATGATAATTCAAAAACAGTTGTAAGCACTACATTGACAGGAAACTGCCAGAAATTCAAACCAGGACTCAGAACAAGGGATATCACTGCTGCTGTGAGGTGGATCATGGTTGAGAGCAGAGAATACCAGAAAGATGTTTACTTGTGCTTTATAGACTCAAAGGCTTACAATTGTGTAGATCATGACAAACTATGGATAACAATGAGAAGAATGGGTATTCCAGAACATTTAATTGTGCTCATTAGGAACCGATAAATAACCCAAGAATAAGTTGTTAGAGAAGAACAATGTGATACTAAATGGTTTAAAATCAGTAAAGGTGTGTGCCAGGGTTGTATCCTTTTTTTTTTTAATGTTTTATTGTAGTTTACATGGGAGAACATTAGCTTTACATTCATCTATCATATCATTTCATTGCCATGGTTACAATACCCCTCCATGCATCATCAACCAACCAAAGGGTATACCCTGCAAGCCTGCCCCCCAGTCGTCAGCACACAGCCCCTCTCCCTCTCTGGGTC